GTCAATACAAGATTTTAGTTTAGCCATGATGCAATTGTCCTATATATCTCAATCGGTTTTCTTAATGATTAATAAACACATAGTACTGGCCTGAACAAGAGTTTTTAAAAAAAAAAAATAATAATAATAAAAATAAAAAAATTGAAACTATATATATTTTAAAAGTAATTAATTTATTTTCTTATTTGTTAAATTTAGAGATTTTAATTTAATAGATTATTTCAAATGTGACAACTCCAAGGAAAACTTAAGATCAAACTTGATATGATACCAGGGCTACTTAGAAGGAATTAAGACTGAAAACCAATGTATAGTAGAATCAAACATACAGTGGCCTACCAATGAATTGTGAACACTTTTGAATCTTTAATTATACAATATCAGGTAAGTAATTATAATATAAATTTTTTATCATATGTTTAGTAACTCTCAAGGTACGATATATTAAAATATCATGCTATGTGATTACATTTCGCAGAAATTATGTAAAAAACAAGACAAATTACTATTTTTAGGTTAACACGAAAATCAATTTCTTTTTTTTTAAAAAAAAAATTTTTTTTCCAGTTTTTTCTTCTCAAGGTCATTCATGACACCTAGCTAATACTATTTAAAGCAAAAAAAGGTAAGTTTGTATAACAGATTAGTTGAATTCAACAAAATGTGATTTTTTTTCTACTGTACGATGGATTGTCAATCGATGGGCAGCAAGAAGAATCTAACGGAAGCTCAACGAAGTTTTATAGTCTATGGCCACTTACGAGGAGACTCACTTCGTGCTATTGCTGCCGTCGTTGGTTGCAGCAAAACAGCTGTGTGGATATTGTAAAAAAGCTTAATAGCTTGGGTGCATCTGAAGTGCAAAAAAAAAATACCCATCCTGGACGTTCTTCTTCTCTCACCCCCTCTAATCGACTACATTTAAAGAAGCTAATTATTAATAATGGTAATCGTCACTTAAATCTTACACAAATTACTAACCTCTTTAATAGTCAAAATAAAAAAAAAAATTTCTAAGAGCACCATTCGTCATGATCTACACAAAACAAACCTGCATTCGTGCGTCGCAACTCCAAAGCCATTAATCTCTTCAGAAAATACTAAAAAAAGGCTGGATTGATCTTTTGAGGTCCCCCGAGAAATTTAAACGTATCTTGTGGTCAAATGAAACCACGATCCGTCTCTTTCAAGATTCCTCTGATCATATCTGGCATGAACCAAGTGAAAAATGAAAAATTGATTGTATAGGTTCCATTGTAAAGTATAGTCAAGGTCATATATATTGGGGCTGTTTTTCTTGGTCTGATATCAGACCTCTTGTTCCCCCAAAATCCAATGCAACTAATGCATCGCATGTCGAAATCCTCCGAAAGTACTTTCTTTCTATGGAGAAAAACTTTCCAGGAAGAAAACATCGTGGTTGTCCAATTCTACAACAAGATAATGCCAAGTCCCACTCCACTAAAATAGCAAAGGAATTTATCACTCAACATTGGATTCGTTTAATATATTGGCCTCCACAGAGTCCCGACCTCAATCCAATAGAAAACCTATAGGTGGAAGTAAAAAGGTCAGTTCGTCATAAGGAAAAGAAGTCAAGTAATCTCAAAGAGCTGGATGCTCTTGTTAAGGAGGCATGATATGAAATACCTCCTGAATATTGTTGCCGGTTGGTTATTAGCATGCCCGATCATGTTAATGTATGTATCGAGGCTAAAGGGGGACTTACAAAATATTAGAATAGAAAATGTATATAAAAAAAAATCAAAAATAACGAAAAAAAAAAATTAAAAAGTTAAAAATCGACTTTCGCTTTAATAACAAAAATGAAGTTAGTAAAGTTTTTTGTATAACTTTTGCATTAATGAATCAAATATTGTGAAATTTTAATATATTATACTTTAAGATTTGCTAAACATGTGATCAAAAATTTGTATTGAGTTTACTTACCCAATATTGCACAATTAAAAAGTCAAAAGTGTCCACAATTCATTGATAGGCCACTATAAAACAAACATATATAGTTCCTTATCTTAATACTAGGAAACCTACAAGGAGAGCTCAACTTTTAGAAATCTCTTGTTCCAAGATAGCGCTAGAGGAATCAATAAGTAGAACAAGTCATATAGACTCAGTAATTACACAATATGATAGAAGGCAACTGGAAGAAGTAGTGATCAAGAATTAGGAAGAGAAACTTATTAAAGAGAATATTAAAGAAGGCACATATCAAATCCATCTGATTGAAATACTCAGATGTAACAAGGAGGATAATAGCAATAATACAATGACCTTTTACTCTGATGGATCCCTTGTTAATTATGGAAATAAAAATATGAAGATGAGTGCAACATGGATACAAATTGAAAAAGCAGAAAGAGAAAGCAAGCTTCAAACAGGAGTAGCTGATTGGCCTTCATTCACAAAAGCAGAACTAGTAGCAATAGTCACTATACTATTAGTAGTACCAGTTAACAGTAAGATCAAGATTCACACTGATAGTCAAGCCTGTATCTCCAAATGAAAAACTATAGAAAAGGAGGATTCCAAAAAACCCCACAAAAGATGGCTAAAAGAATAAAATTGGTCCTTGTGGGCATGAATATTGAGCCTGGTAAAGAAAAAAGAATTAGATTTAAATCTTATCAAGGTTAAAGCACACTTCAACATTCAATATAATGAGGAAGCAGACATTTTAACCAAAGAAGCATTAAAGTTCCCAACAATAGAATGGCAAGATCTGGACTCACCTAAGATTATTATCAAAATCAAATGACAAGATATAGTACTGGATGCTTTAATAAGGCAATTTGTTAAAAAAACCAATGCCAAAATAATGACACCCCAATGGACAATCCAAAATAGAATAGACAAAAAGTGGGTTATCAAATCCAAGACCAGCACAGGTACACATGGGATCTAGTTTAGGAATAAATGAATAATGTGCACATATAGAATACCTTTTTCAAAGGATCACAAAGAAAAAGCTTTCTTGTTAAGATAACCAGCGATGAGCTATCCATGTTAACAAAGTTAGCCACAAGAAGACCAGACTTATACAAACAAGTAAAATATCTCGCACGTGGATAGCAGAAAGAGACAATAGAACACTTGTTAAAATGTCCAGTATATAAAACTCAGTGGCAAGAAATCTGGCAGAAGAGTATAGAAGATATATTGCAAGGTTTCAACAAACTTCTGGTAGATAAAAAAAAAGAGTCAGAAGAAAAAGAGATAAGTCTGGCAGTTGATAACAGAATGGAAAGAGGAGAAATGAATAAGAAAATAACTCAACTGGTAGAAAGGATCTCAAATACTGGTCGAAATATACTTAGCTTCTGCATGGGACTGATTGAAAAAGATCTAATGAATAATATAGCAGACTCAAAGTGCTATGGAAAAAGAATTGGTAAAGAAGCAAGAAAGTGGATAATAAAGATACAGAAGAAAACACATAACCGCTTTCGAAAGAAAATTTGGAATATTAGATACGAAAAGGTGATAGAAGAGGAATGGATATTAGGAATCAACAGAGGTGACAAGATCAAAAGACTGACATATCCACAGAGACAAAGAAACAGGGCCAAGATATCAAGAAATCGGTCATATCAAGTATTATTAGAGGAAGAAGAAATAGAAAATACAATGTTCAAACAGGTCCTACAAGATGGGGTAAAAAATGGGATGAAATGGTTGGGTTTTAATTTTTGTCAGAACTTAAAAGAGTGATCTGTAATAGTGATCTGCAGGCAATAATGTCAGAAGTTGGAAGGATATTTACCTGAACTCCTAACAGAGCGATAAATTACTTCTGAAGTTGTACTTAGAAAGATAAAATATCTAAGACAAGTGAGTTAGTTAAAAAATTAGCTTTGGCACCTTATGTTATATGTACAGCTTACAAATGTTTAATAAGGCATACATAACTAGCCTGACAGAGGGCAAAAAAAAATAAAAAAAATAAAAATTTTTTAATTTCCTTTTATACTATTTAATTAAATTAATTTTTTTTTAATTTCAAATTTTTATAAAATTTTTAATACTAATATTAAAAAAAAATATTTTTATATACCTATTATGGAAATTCTTTTCAACTCTAATAATTATTATTATGTTATTAAATTTTTTACTATATATCTAATTTGTTTTACAATGGATTTATAAAATTGCTAAATTTATTTATTTTATAAACTTTAATTTTTTTAATATAGAATATATTTTTTTTAAAATCAAACTTTAAATTTTTGTTTTATGATAATCAATTAATATTTATAATCGATTTTTTATATAGTAGATATAAAACCTATGAACAGATGTCTTAATTGTAATACTGCAGTCTATAAAGATAAAATCTATTGCATTTTAAAAAACTATATATGGTAATATAAAGATAGCTAATATTTCTGTTCTAATTACTGAAAGTCATAATAAAACCCCTGCTAAGAATGTTTTTTTCTTAATTGTATCAAATATTAACCATTTTTAAATCTTATTGACTTTATTATATTTTAATTAAAATTATTAACTTTAAGTAAATCAAAATTTTTTACTCTTTTTACTATAATATACTGCATGCGGCACGTGATATACAATCGCAAAAATAAACAAATTTATTTGTAATGATATATAACATCGGAAGTAGTCGGTAGAAATGAAGTACATACAGAGAAATATCGAATACATATCACAGCAATGTATATAATATATGCAAAATCTATCGTAATCTAAGTCATCATATTAACCCAAGCGATCTATGTTCACTTGTACATTTCCACATGGTGTTAACTTTTTAATGCATGTCTACCCTCCATTTGTCCGAAGGCATGCTCAAACAATCAAATAAATTTGTATTAAATAGAATATATAGTCTTCAATATCAATTTCATGTTTTTTGTTTTCTTTTAGGGATAATAATGTCAACAAATACACTAATAGTAGATAGAGTCATTACAATTGACTTCTGCATTATATATTATGTAATCAATCAAGCATGTCTGTTTCTAAGAACCACCAATCGCTTGATTGGTCTCATCGCCTCCTTCGTTACGTACGATTTCCTCTTCGACTAGTGACGCACTGGATAAAATAATTTCCGGGGATTTTTTAATATCACCTGCATGCTCCGGTGTTTGGCCTTGTTCAAGTTCGAAAGTTGGTGGCACATCCTGAGCATCATTATCAAATGGCACTCGGTCTCGTTCACCGGAGCCTTCAACTATTTCTGTTATTTCCGATGTATTACCATCGTTTAGTGGAAAAGACGATGGTGAAAGTACATCATTTGTTGAATTCGTTGTAGACGGTGAAGATAGTCCTGATCCTGTTGACGATGATGGGACTGACGTACTTGTTATTGTTCCACCTTCTGTACTAGTTGTTATTGGTGTTGAAACATTTGTTGGTGTGTAATCATGGGAGTGAGAGGCCGATGAAATTTCATCTTCCTCCTCATTATCACTATGATATATTGGCACTTGTCCAGAAAAATGTGACTCAATGTCTGACTGCACGCTCTCGACAATCAAATTATCACCTTCATTCCCTGGCTGATTTTCATAAAGCGCTACCTCTTCAGCACCCTCCTCATTAGTAGATAAATGCGGAATTGTTATCGTACCCGAGGCAGAATCCTCGGAAGATAGAGCATTATTAGAATTTTCATCCGGTGATCCCTCCGTCCTTTCACTTTCTTCTCTTTCACCTCTATCCCTTTCATTCTGCTCAAGGAGACTTAACCGAATGGCCTCCATGACCATTAACTCTTCCAAATCAGTACCCATTCTCATGGCTGCTAAATATCCTCTATAATCAGGGGCAGCAGGCGACTGATTATTTCGTCGACCAGGGGTAGTGGTTGTGGAAGGAGGCACCACATAAGTACCGTTTCTACCTTGCGAAGTTACCACCAGTCTTGAATTGCCAGTTGGTGTTACCAATGGAGGTCTTCTTTCGCGTACAGATGGATATACACGTGGGCGGATTTGATCTTTTATTTCGAAAAGAGATATGAGATGTTAGAAACCTTTACCTTTATCGAATGTAATTAATTCGGTCATGTGATAAATAAAAATTCTATATTTCTGCAACTCCGTAAAATCTAAATTACTCTCCTGAAATCATTAGTGACTTTTATATGGCAATTAGAAACCATTTTGCAATATGCGTTTTCAGATATTACTAAATTTACTACTTTTTGCGAACATCATATAAGAAAAGATATGCCAATTGATATAAATAATAGCATACCAATAGTAACAACGTCAGGATTTTTATGGCTCAGGCTCCTCCTTCGTGTTTTTACATCAGGTACGCTAAGTGATGAAGAAGATGATGGTTGTGATGGTTGTGAATTACTGAGATTTTGAATTGAATTAGGCTAAACAAAGAAAATTAATCACGAATACTTTGAGATCATGTATATTATCATAAAAGCATATAACTTTTACGGCACATAAAATCGTGATCGTACCATATTTTCGCTTCCAACACCTGCGCTGAAGGGAGGAGGTTTATAATAAACTCCAAAATTAGTTTCAACACAGAAGGGGCATACAGCAGGGGAATTGTTGGCACCCAGTGTACCACTCTCGGGACGTTTTATTTGAACAAAACATTCAGTGCAAATTGGCTGATCGCAACATCTGGAATGGTTTATGTTTCTTGGATAATACTATTTTTGAATATTGAATTGATGGTAATAACGACAATCAGTATTATCACATGTATCGAGAACAATATAATAAAAACTTAGATCAAGGAATACACGCATCTAGCTCCTGAGCAAGTCATAAGAACTGGTAATTGATTTCTTCGCAACGAATCTAATAATTGTTTTGAAAACGTATAATTGATCGTAGAACTGAGAATGATCAATTATCTTCATAAAGCACGTTTCTTATTATTAGAAACCTCTCAATTAATGCTTGAATATGCTTGCTACTTCATAGATTCTTCTTACACACTATACTCCACTTGTGATTTATCATTTAAAATCAATTACTCACCAAAAAACAAATGGGGCATTCAACTGCACCTTTGTATAATTGGGCTTCCAGTGATTTTGCTGTAGAGTTTTCTTTGCCTTTAGCCACTCCTACCGTGTTTAGCGTTGCTGAGCGTCTCAATACTTGACTCCCTTGCGCGTGACATTCACCGTTAAATGCAGAACTTTTCTTGGCCTCAACACTTTTTGGAAGATTGTGGGTCGTCAAGGTGACTTCGTCCCAACTCTCGTCATAGTCTGCCAGTCCCTTGTAAAAAGGTGCCAATTTGCGTTCTATGATAAATTTACGGACGCTCTTAACGTCCCAATCTTGAGGTAATTTGTACACTCCGTGCGGTACTAATTGTCCTCCGTCCACAGTCTCCTCCGCTTTATCCTTGTTCATAGAATTTCCCATGTTGGTTTAAGCTACTCGATTTTGATCGTGTTCTTCCAGCTCGTAGATGTCAAGAAATATATATAGACCAATTTTGCGCAAATATGCGAGTGACGGAGTAAAATGCACGGTAATTAGTAACTAATTTGAGAATTTCTGCTCTTTTGTTGGCAGACTTTGCAAGGTTCACGGAACCCTTTGCAAAACACAAAAAATTAAATTGTCTCCCTAGTTTTTGCTACGAGAGTTTCGCCTCCAAAATCACTTATTAACGATTTCGGGGGTTTGAGAACTTGGGTTCCTTTAATACGTTCTAAATATAAAAGATTATGATATCATTCTTGATTCATCCCTGTTATCACGTGCACGCAAATCTATTTTTGGAATAGGAATCCATATATACTCTTTTTGAAGAATTATAAAAAATACTGTATGAGAACTTAAGCAAATTTAGAAACCAATATTTCACTAATGATTTTTATAGTTTGTTACTATTGATTGTTTTATAGTTTGAATTAACCTATTCTTACTATTAATGTTATTATCTATAATTTATTATTGCAGATTGTTATTCAAAGTTCTAATCAAACTTAAATTTCAATTATTTTATTTTATTTTTAACTCCTATTATTATTATTTTGATAAAATCTTTATTTGTATTCTTTTTCTATTATTTCTTTTCTATTTCTTATATTTTTTGTTTGTCTTATTATATAGAATTTACATTAATTGAAATCATGTTATTTGGTAACTAAATTATTATCAAATTTAATTAAATTTAATAATAAAAATATTATCAAATTCTTTTTATTTATTGTCACTTGGTATATTACTATTTTGGCAATAAAGTAGCAATCAAAAATTCAACAATCAAAAATTTGGCAATCAAAATTTAATAATAAAAAATTTAACAATTAAAAAATTTATCCAATAATCAAAAATTTATTAATTAAAAGTTTAACAATAAATTGTTAAAAAATTTATTAACAATTCATCAAATAATATTAACAATTTAGCAAAAAATTCATTAAAAGTTTATTACAAAATTATTTATTAACAATTTAATAAAAATTTGAATCAATTTATTAATAATTTATCAAAAATTCATCAACAATTTATTAAAAATTCAATAACTATTCATTAAATTATTTCTATTGTTTATATAATAATACATAATTATCACTTTGTGAAAGTCTGTAAAATATTTAAGTATCTCTCAATATCTTAATAAAGACATATCAAAGCGACATAATTATAGGTTAAAAAAAAAATAAATAATAATAATAATAATAATATATAATTAATTAAATTATAATAATATAAATAATATATTATGTATTATAAAAAACTCTTTCAACTAATTTTCTGACCATACACAAAAAAGATGTTTATAAAAAGTTTTTTGCTTCTTTGCTAAAAAAGTTTTTAATACTTTCCTTAAAATATATTGAAGAGTGACTTCAAGAATCATCTCTACATCTCCTTACTTGTTTACAATCCTCTTTGACCAAAAACTTGACTTTTGATAATTATGAACAAGTCAAGTAACATCTTTGATACCAATAGTAAAAAAGTTCCCAAAGAAAAAAGAATCAATAGTAAAGTATATAAAGGTTTTTTCTATCTTTGAAGTAAGAGGTATATAGAAGTTTTTGATGACAAAAGAACTTATTTTTCTCCTTCTAGTTACTATTGAGTTTCTTAAAGCTATTACTTTCATGATTTTCTAAAAAATTTTGTCTATCTCTATTTGATCCTGAATTTTGGATAGCACAAATCTTTATCAAAAGTAATTGATTGACACAAAACACATTGGTTTTAGAAAAAGTAAATAAGCTTCTATTGGTCATACTCATGTGTTTCTATCATATTATGGGTGATATAAGAAAGAAAGTTCTAGAAGAAATCCCTCTCCAACTGAGTATATTCAACTCTAGGAAACAGTTATGATATCAAAAGATGGGGTGGATTTGCACAAAGAAATTAAATCCCTTCTCTAAGTTCCTTAAGTGATGAAAAGGCTCTCTAAGGTGAAAGCTAAGATATTTTAGTTTTTCTTGAACTATCTCAATTTGGTGCATGCTTAAATAAAGGCTCATCCAATGCCATAGATAGTGACAAAGAAAACTCCTTTCGAGATTCAAATGAAACAAAGAAAAATATCTCAATTAGGCAAAACCCTTTTTGAGAAGAGGCTATGAAATAGAAAAGAATCTTTTGAAGGGCTTTAAATTGTTTTTCTTTTTTTCTCTTCTCTAGTTTAACTTTAGCAATTCATCATTTTTTGAGATAATCAATAGTAATAAATTGTTGGCAATGACTCTAGTTGATTTAGAAATACTATACCAAGCTACTAGGAGAGCATAATATTGTCTCCTAAATCTAACCTAAAGTACCTAGTTAAGACTTGTTTTTGTTTAATCTAAACTAGTTTAGTGGACTCCTTATATTTTTTAAGTAGTGTAGTCCTTTAACTAATAATATACAAAGACAAATTAGTCATTATATAAGAAGGTCTACAGATTATTTTAATATTTTTTTAAGTATCTTAATAAAGATAAGTCATTTTTTTTTCCTTTATTAGGCTAAGTATGTGTGCTTTATTAAACATATGTATACTTACATTAGAGAATATATTGCTAAAGCCAAGTCTCTACCTAACCCACTCATCTCTATTTTAAAAAATTATTAAAACTTTAAGTGCAACTTCAGGAGTAATTATTGCTCCTTTAATAGTTTAGGTAAAGACCCTTCCAATTGTTAACTTTATTGCCTGCAGGTTACTACTGCAGATCATTCTGTGAGGTTTTAACAGAGCCTAAAACCCAACCATTTCATTTTATACTTCACTCTTCTTGTTAGAATTTTTCGAAGGCCTTCATCTTCAAGATTTCCTTCTTCAGGTAGTGGCTCTTTTTTCTTTGGAAGTATACTTTTCTGACTTGATAAATATGGAAGTCTTCTTGTCTTGTTCTCTCTACCAATTTCTTGTATTTTTTCTTACTTAATTACCTTTTTACATCTCTTGTTCCAGACTTTTTTTTTGAACTTGATTACAAACTCTTCTTTGCATTTTTAATATCCATTTTCTTGCTATTCTTCCTATGTATTTACCTTGATATTTTAGGTCTGTCATTTCTAGAATAATATCTGCTCTTATAAGGCCAGTACAAAAACTTGGCATATCCTGGCTAGTTTTAGAAGCCTGTTCTACTACTTTAGAGATCCACTTGTTAAATGCTTCTATCTCTTCTCAATCATTAATAATTAACCTGGGATTTTTCTTTTCGACCTCTCTCTTTCTTTCCTCTAGTAGCTCTTTAAAGTCTCTAATAATTCCATCTACTTCTTTATTCCATGTCTTATTTAATTGATTCTTATAGGCTGAGCATTCTAGTAAATATTCTATAGTTTTGTCTTGTTGGCTATATACAATATATCTCACTTGTTTATATAGGTTCAGTCTTCTTATGGCCAACTTACTCAGTGTATGTAGCTCATTATTGATCAGTTTAATTAGAAAGCTTCTTTATTGGGATTATTTAAAAGATGTATTCCATATGTGCCCATCTTCAACTCTTTTCTATACTAGGTCTTATGTATAAGCCTGATATTCTAAAATCTGCCGACTTCATTTTTTCTCAGTTCTATTTTATTGTATCCACTGATTGGTTGTTGTCTTATTATTAATGTTTTTAATAAACTGCCTAATTGGATTATCTAAAGTTATTCCTTGCCACTTGATTTCAGTAATAATTTTGCATAAGATGAGATCTTTTCATTCAATTGGTGGAAATTTTAGAGCTTCTTTAGCTACAGTATCTACTTCTTCATTATAAGGATCATTTGAGAGTGCTTTAACTTTTGTGATCTTTAAATCTATATTTTTCTTTTTTATTAGTTCTACCATGCATCCCAAAGGAACTAATTTTTTTCTTTAAGTCATCTCTTATGTATCCTTCTTGAATCTTCCTTTTCTAAAGATTTTCACTTGAAAATACATACCTGACTGTCTGTAAAGATCTCCACCATGCTTTCAATTGGAACTACTAAGAGTATTATTATAATTGTTACCAATTCTGCTTTTGTAGATGAGTGCCATTTGTCTACTCCTATTTGAAACTTGTTTTTCCTTCCATCATTACTAATTTGAATCCAAGCTATTCCCATCTTCATTTCTTCTTTACCATGATTAATAAGTGATCTATCAGAATAGAAGATTGGCTTTTCTTTAGATTCAAGATTATGTTGAAGTATAGCTATCAGATGATTTTGATATGTGCCTTCTGTAATATTTTCTCTGATAATAGATTCTTCACAGGTTTCAATGTCCACATGATTTATTCTATCATTTTGGGTCTTGAAAAAGTTTTGGTCTCTGTAAATCACTTCTTCAATCCTTTTTTCAAGTGCTGATCTGAAATTGGAAATTTTTAAATCTCATGTTCTTCTAGTGAACTTTCTCATGTTGAGATATGGTACTGTATATATCTCTTCTATTTCTCTTTCTATGATGCAATCAACATTTAGTGTTATGCCTTCCAAACATCCTGGGCATTTTTGTAAATTAGTTTCCTGATCATTATTGGTGCTACAACAGATAAAGTGCTCTACTATCATAATGTTTCTATCTTTTTCTTGTCTTAAATGGTCCCAAGTTATTTTATTTCTTTTGCTTCTCATTACTATTCACAATTTTTTCTGCTTGTCTCTATTAGATTCTATTTTAGAGTATTCTAGCTTCTATTTTGTATAATTTTCTTTCCAAGATCTTATGAGCTGCTTTAGTTGATCTTCTGAGAGATTTTTGGTTATAATTTAAAACCATTCTGGTATAGGTCCTTTGCTTGTATCTTACAAGAGCTGAAACATTTGCCAGACTCTTATTTTTTGATTTCCTAATCGATCAGCTGATCCAGATACATCAGTTGATTGTTTTTGAGTGATGGTATGGCTTTTTTATATTTTTCCAATGTAAGATATTCTCTGATCTAAATATTTCTCTTTTTCCATTTAAAGAT